TATATATATATATATATATATATATATATATATATATATATATATATTAACTTTAATTTATATGGTACACTTTTTCAATTTTGCATAACCAATGAAACATAAGTTATGCATATACTATATTTGACATTATGCTATGTACAAAAATACATAGGAAATTATAATAGCAATGTAAGATTTTAATACATGCATTAGTTTATTAAACATGCAATGTTTTTCAAAAAAAATTCTGTATCCTTTATTTGCAGAAGATATATTTTGTAAACAAATAATTTTGCTTCAAAAATTATGTCATGACATTTTCAATAGATCAAATCACATACTATATAAAAATAATATTAGCATAACTAATATTAATATATTATATTCAATATAATTTATACATATTATTAAACGATCCCTAATATATAATTATTGAATTACTTTTCCCAATATCACTTACTAGACGATCACTAAATATTTAACTCATTTTAAAAAATGACAAAAAATGATTCAGGTAGATTTAAAATAACCTAAATATATTTATAAGTAATATATTCATCTTTACTCTTTTCTGCCCTTTTGTCTATTCGGTTCTCTTATTAACTTTTCAAGGAGTCAACAAATATTAATCAAATTGAAATTTGTGAAGCTGTTTTCTTGATTATATATTTGGTTTGTTTGATTTTTTATAGTGAATAAATTAATTTAAAAGTTTATTAAGAAATATTATTCCAAATACCTCTTTGCTAATTTTTTTATTTAATAAAGTATTAGAGTTAGATTTATCCATAAAAAAAAGCATTAAGATAATTTATCTTTGAAGTTTTTTTTGTTATTGTTTCTCCTCTTTTTGATTTACTTTTGCTGTTTGATGAATTCTCTTGAGATATAATTTTTTTCTATTTTGTAATTTTGGTCAATTTTGATGTTTAAGGTAATTGATTTTCAATAAAATTAGTAGCTTATAAAATTAAATTTGAATCAAAACTTTTACATACATACATAAAATAATGAATTTAACTTCACATAGTAATTATTATTATTTATAGAAGTAAGAAGTAATTCTAGAAAATTAGAATTCAGTCATTTATTTGCACTACATTCTCTTGGATGTTATTATAAAAATTTTATTTATTAATATAAAAATTTGAGTTGTCTATTTAAAGTTATAAAATATTTGTAGTAATATATATATATATATATAAATTTTATATCTTTCTTACTATCTTCAATATTGTTTTGAGTTAGACAGAAATTACAGAAGTTATAATTAAATATTTCTTTTGAGCCTCAAAATATCAGGGGCTTAATGAAAACGCGATACTAGCCTGATCCTTGAGTTATTTCTAATTTAATGCAACTTTTGGAGCTGCAAATTTTCGAATTTGGTTATTATCATTTAAAAAATAATAATTTTAGTTAGATTAAACATTAAAACTCACCAAATATTTGACTGAACAAAAACGTAGTAGCATTTGAAAAACTCAAAAAAAAAAAGAAGTTAAAATTACTCCAAAATATATTTAAGGCATTGTTTTATATACACTTGCTCTCATTAGAACTCATTTTTGTCCTTATAAACTATTAATATGTACCTTGAGGCTGGGGTTGTTCGAGTCGGCATTTGCATAAAATTTAAAAATTCAAGTTCAAGTTCAATATTTCGTCACATTGAGTTTATTTAGTGTGTTTTTAGTCTTTTGTATGGATTTTTGAGCTAGAACGAATTTCACAATATTCAAGTTTAAGTTCAAAATCTCGTCACATGGAGTTTATTTAGTGTGTTTTTAGTCTTCTATATGGTTTTTTGAGCTAGAACGAATTTCGCAATCTCAACGACACAACGTCAAGGAAGCTAGAGCAAATTTCACAAGTTCAACTATATTTACTACTTTTATATCGAACAATACAAAAACATACATCTGAAATACTTTTTTCGTTGTATATATAATCAATCACAATCATTCTACATTCACGTTTACTCAACTTATGTACCTATTTTCTCACACTAAACTTAATAAACCACTGATAAAATAGACCATAGTGATATAGCTGAGCTAATTCAACGTGAAATCTCCTTAGCAAAGAGAGAGCATTTTTCTAATATAATCGACTACAAACAGTACATTGCAGCTACTTAAACTTCAAAATAAATTTAATATCTAGCATTACTCCAACCTGGAATAAAATAAATAAATCAAAGAAAAAATAAAAAAAATATCAGCCCAACTTCAACTAAAGCTTATTAAACATGCATATGTACAAGCTTTTTCCTAAATTAGCCAACCCATCGTATTACCTATCTCGATATATAGCGATTTCATAATCATAAAAAAGTTAAATCATTTTTTTTTTCGAAAAACAACTTCAGTATCCAACCCGAACCCGTCAACGGTTTGAGTACGAACTAACTCAGACCGCTTAAAAAGTTTCTTCAACGGTTCAACACTAAACAAATCATTCGCCGAATACTTATCCCCTCGTCTAGATAACGACACGTGTAACACACAAACCCCGCCGGACTTTAACGTCCGTTCAATCTCCGATACAAATTTCACCGGAAAAAGTGCGTGATCAAACACGTTAGAAAATTCCAGATCAAACGTCCGATCATCGAACGGTTGATTATGAAAATCTCCCTTCATCACCAATGGCGGGTACGGTACCAGATCCATTCCGATTGAATCCGAAACTCCGATTCGTTTCAATGCTTCCACTTCCTGACCCATTCGAGCGCCAATACAGAGTACCTTCGATGAATCTGAGAGAAAATTTTCATTTTTTAGATCGGTGAAGAATTTCGAAAAAACTTGAATTTTCCGATCCCAATCTCGAGTCATCCAAATTTTTCTGAGTTTGGGATTCAGAGTTTTGTTTAGCTGCTTTTGTAGGTAGGTATCGTATGTGGTGTATCCGGGTCGGATTTTGAGATTTGAATCCGAATACGATGTGGTGGTGGTGGTAGTTGTAACGACGGAGGACGATGAATTCCAATTAGAGAGAAAAAGGAGGATTGGTATTGTTATGAGAATAACGAAAAATATATATTTCGATATCATCATTGGTGACGATACATTAATTTCTTTCATCTTTTACGATCAATGATCACTTCCAAGAATTTGGAAACTTCAGAATTAGTAAGAATGGGAAATCATAAGTCAAATAAATAAAAGACATACATGCATGCAAAGAGTGAATGAAAATCTATTATAATAAATGGAATTAAATGCATCGATAGAAAGAGTTTTTATGTTGAAACTTTTAGAGAAAAAAAAAGAATGAAGTAAATGATAAAAATGGAATTAAATGCATCGATAGAAGAGTTTTTACATTGAAATTTTTCAGAGAGAAAAAAGAATGAAGTTAATGATAAATGTATGTATATAATTTAGTTTTTTTAAAAAAATAACTTTTTATGTATATATTTAAACTAATTCAAAGTCGCGTAAATACGTAAAGAAATAAATAAAGCTTAAATAAAAGTTATTTAAAATATTTAAATAAAGATAATAAACTTTAAAATCTAACTGTATAGTATATAGATAAGGCAGATAATTAGGGCACAATTACATTAGAATAAATTGAGCAAGTGAATTATTATTGTTATTATTTGAGTAAAATTATCACTAGGCAAAGCTTTTAGCGGCCTTTTAAAAATTAACTACTATTTATTCATAATTTTTTATGATAATTTTACCTTTTGTCCTCCTTAGTTGGAAGTGACTTGGACGCTAATAATGACACAAAATTATCATAATCAACTTTATATTTTTTTGTTAGAGTATTATTTATATTGGTATGTTTGAATTTAGCTTCTTATTCGGTGTTGACATTTTCAATAAGATTTATAAAATATATGATAAATGTTTAATCGATAGAATACTAAATTTTGGGTCAATGAAAATTGTTGTGTTTTTCAAATTATCAAAAAAAAATAATTTTCCCTTTCTATAACATACTTTCTATCCTACTCAAATTCACGTATTTGTCGAACTGAATGTATTATTTTTAATTATTCAATACAAATTATATATTATTAAATTTGTTAAACATGACAATTTTTTTTAAAAAAATATTATTTAGGAATTACTGAACAATATATTTGCATTTTTTCTTTTGTGTACTAATGTTTTGGAATAAAAATAATAGCGTGGGATTCAAATGGATTATTACTCTCTCTTTTTCATGAATCAAATTATCTTCATATAAATTAGCTAGAATATAAGGATTATTCCCTTCTATATTCGATTCAATATATCTTTCGGCTATTCAGAAAGTAACAAAAATAAAATACGCTCAAATTGTGAATCTTTGAAAGCAACTTTTTATCGATATTTACTATAAGTTACTTGAGGATTTTTTGGGTGATTAGTATGAAAACTCGCAGAATCCTGCAAATTTTTATAGGGCAACTTTCACATAGCAAACAAAAAATTCATATTTGTATGCTATAGTAAAGTTTGCATAATTGCGCTCCATAGCAAACATAAAAACTATATAATTCGCTATACATATACAATTGTATAATTCGCTGGCATATTTCGCTGCAATTGTATAATTCACCATCCTATTTCACTGCAATTGTATAATGCACAATTGTATAATTCGCTACCTATGTATATTGCATAATTATAAGTGTATAGCAAGAAGATATATGTTTGTCTCTCGCTTTATACAAAAACAGAAATACAATATATGCACTTCTGTTGTATAAAGCTAGAGAAAGTTGTATTTCACTGCAATTGTATAATTCACAATTGTATAATTCATTGGCCTTTTTCTCTGCAATATTTGGACAAAATTTGCATTTGTCTACAATTTAATTGAAGTAAAATGTTTGTAAATTGTATAATTAAGTGTATAACA